TGCTCAAGCGGCAGGCGCTGGCACCGCCATGGCGGTGCCGCCTTCGGCGAGGGGACCAGTGAGCCCCGCCCCCCCCAAAAATTGTGCGATGCTGTATTTTTCCGCAGTGTCAGATCTCAGGGTCTGGCGACTGGCAGGCGGCCCTGACGGCGCGGCCCTGACGGCGCGGCCCTGACGGCGCGGCCCTGACGGCGCGGCCCTGACGGCGCGGCCTGTCCTCCTGCTCCGACCGCTGTGCTCTCGCAGCCGGGTGACCGTCGGCTTGTTTGGGGCGGGCCTTCTCCTCGGTGGTGGGAGGCTGCGCGCCGCCGATGCCCGCAGCCAGCCGCGGCGTCGACCTCGGCCCGCAGCTGCCTCCCCTCCCTTGGTGTCCGCGCGCTCTTCGGCCGCCTGCGCGGTGCACTTGGCGTGCGCCCGCCACCCTTTCGGACTTCTCGGCCAACTCGCGCCCCGGCTGCTGGATGCGAGCCGCCGCTGCCCCTCGTCTGCCTGCACGGCGAGCTCTGGGCGGCCTGCGTCGGCGGCCTCTCGGCTCGGCCCTGCCGCGGGCGCGGCAGGTCGCCTTTGATGCCCGCTCGCAGTGCAGGTGGCAGGCGTGGCACGTCCACGTGCCATCCTCGCTGCTGCCTCCTAAGTTGTCGCCGCCGCCGCCAGTGCCGCGCGCGCGCCCTTCCTGGGGGCATGCGCAGCCGAAGCTGGCTCGCCGGGGCTGTGTCGTTCTGGAGGTGACGCCAGTCGCAGGGCTGGATTGGCCTCAGCATCCTGGTCACAGAGCGCTCTGGCAGTGAGAGAAGACGGGGGACGACTTCCGACGATGATGGTGATGGTGATGATGATGATGATGATGATGATGCTGCTGCTGCTGATGATGATGATGATGATGGTGAAAGTGATGATGATGATGATGATGATGATGATGATGATGATGATGATGATGCTGATGCTGATGCTGATGCTGATGATGATGATGATGATGATGACGACGACGACGATGATGATGATGCTGATGATGATGATGATGATGCTGGCGATATTGATGATGATGATGATGAGGATGATAATGCTGATGCTGATGCTGATGCTGATGCTGCTGCTGATGATGCTACTGATGATGCTGCTGATGATGATGGTGATGATTAGGATGCTGATGATGGTGATGAGTATGATACTTATGCTGATGATGGTGATGATGATGATGGTGATGATGCTGACGATGATGATGATGATGATGATGATGATGATGATGATGGTGGTGGTGGTGGTGGTGATGATGATGATGCTGATAGTGCTGCTGCTGATGATGATGATGATGATGCTGATGCTGATGCTGATGCTGATGCTGATGATGATGATGCTGACGATGATGATGCTGCTGATGATGATGATGAGGATGCTGCTGCTGATGATGATGATGATGATGATGATGATGGTGGTGGTGGTGGTGGTGGGTGGGGGTGGTGGTGGTGGTGGTGATGATGATGATGATGGTGGTGGTGGTGGTGGTGGTGGTGGTGATGGTGTTAGTGATGATGATGATGGTGATGATGATGATGATGATGATGATGTTGATGATGATGATGATGATGATGATGATGATGATGATGATGATGATGATGATGATGATGATGCTGATCTGATGATGATGATGATGTTGATGATGATGATGATGATGATATGATGATGATGATGATGATGATGATGATGATGTTTGATGGATGTTTCTGAGAGGAGGAGGAGGAGGAGGAAGGTGGAGGAGGAGGAGGAGGAGGAGGAGGGGAACGCCCTCCCAGGCGCCAGTGGACAAGGAGGACCTCGAATGGATGTCCCAGTGGAGCTCCGAGGAGGAGCTGATCGCAGACTACAAGGTGCACGTGCTCCTGCTTGTGCTGTTCCTGCTTCCTCTTCCTCCTGCTTCTCTGCCTCCCTCCGCCGTTCTCCCTCCTCGCTAAGGAGAATCCTTTGGTGTCCGCTGTCCTACTCTCATCTCGCCACGGCATGGTATCGCTTCCCTCCCTCCTCCGCGCCCCCCCTCGTCCCTGCTAGTCCCTCCTTGTCTCTCCTCGTCCCTCCTTACCCTCCCCCCTCCTCATCATTCCCGATCTTCCTGCTTCTCCTCCTTCTCCCTCTCTTCCCTCCTACTCCTGCTCCCCTCTCCTCGTCCCTTGTCCCTTCTGCCATTTCCTCCCTCGCTCCCTTCATCTTCCCCTTCCTCCTCCCCGTCCTCCTTCTTCTCTTCCTCCTCCTCCTCATCCTCCTGCTTCTGCTCCTCCTCCTCCTCCTCCTCCTCCTCCTCCTCCTCTCCCCTTCCACGCCCTCCTCTCCTCTTTTCCCCTTCGTTTTCCTCGACCTCTGTGGGGACTGTCTCGGGACCATCTTGGAGCCTACTCGGGCTGCCTTCAGGCCCGCCACCGGTTGAACCTCTCTCGGGTGTCCCCTGCTGCTGCAGCTGCTACTACTGCTCCTTTCACTTCCGCATGGGCCTGCGGAGGTCTCCAGAGGT